CTAATTTGGGCAGGTGGCATGAGACATTTAAAATCTGTAAGAAACCCACTTTTACCTAACAAAATAGTATATGCTTTGAGTGTTTCTGTCACATATTGATTCAATTTCAAGTTTGGATTAAATGAGTCAAGCAATTGACTGAAAAACCTAAGAATTTCATAATTATTATTGTTTTTCTATCCAACTGTAATTTGGCATTTTAAACCTTTTTTGCCTTTACCATTATTAAGGTTGCTTAATGGACTTTATAAAATGTGATAAAATACTTTCTAAGTACTAAGGACATGATATATATATGTGTGTGTATATAATATGTATGTACCACACTATCTATCTGTACATAATGAATATATATATATTCATTATAATGGTTCAATAATGAAGAATCCTCAAGAAAGCAATCTCTGCAAGATTTTGCTTGAGGGTGGCATTAAAGAATTTTTTTTTTCAATTTCAGAAGGATATTTTAATGATTACTATAAATAGGAAATCGAACTCCCAATACAAACAAACAGCAAAAATGTGGTAAAGCGCCAAACACTTATTTTTCTTGCACCCAAATCAAGAAGCTGAATCTCACCAGCCCTTAGAACCCTCAACTCATGCCCTGTTTAGTCACCTACCCTTCCCCTCTAAGGGTAAACAAAGTCTCTGGTTAATACTTCATATAAATGGAATTGCATAGTATAAAGTCTTGGGCCAAATATAGATAAGCTATCTCACTTGATTTGACAATGTCTGGCAGTCTTCCAATAAGAGACTACCCTAAATAACTGCTGATGTGAAGATAGTTTTGATTCAAGTCTTGAGAGCTATATCAGTTCTGAAACTGAGCTTTACAAGGTCATGTAGGGCAGCAGCAAATTAAAACAGTTGAGAAACTGGATAAAAAGATTATACATATAATTTTGGCATGAGAAGGTTCTAATAGTAAGATCATCTAGAAAAATGCTTTCAAAAGCACTTTTGTAAGTACCATTCTTGTCAATCAACAATGCTTTATAATCTGTTAGTTACTTTTTAGTCAAAACACCTTGAAATCTAAAAATGAAAATTTTGAATTGGGGAGAGATCATTTTTGTTGTCAGGGTTTTCAGAGAAATCTATGAAATCAGTCAGCATGAGTGACACTTTGTCAAATCACTTTCTAAAAGCAATACCATGTATATTGTTTTTTAGTGTTTTGCTCAGATCACCTGTCTGGAATGTTTATTAAAACAATGAATTGGGCTATCATTAACATTTTACTTTCTAAGGTTGCTGCAAGCCCTGCACCCATGTTTTGTAACTGAGTAGAGCTGGGGCAGGATCTGCCATCAAGGTGAACTGAGGGCACCAGGAGAGGGCCCTTAGCCATTGCCAGAGCCCCAGACTCCACGACTGCCTTCTGGAATTGAGTAAATACAGAGCAGAAGAATCTTCTGGGACAGAGCCCATCAGCATATCCATTGCATCTACAGTGGAGATGCACCCTGTGGAGTTTTGGCCTAACAGTGCTGGACTTGATCTGGCCACCAGTTACTTACATTCCAGAAGGAGTATCCTGAAGAAATGCCTGCCACTATGAGTGGCACAGTGTTCCAATGCATGGAACAAATAAGAAAAAAAACAGGGAGAAGGAAAAATACAATAACCAAGCATGTCCTCAAGGGAGGCACACACACCACAAAAAGAAAAATCAGTCATCAGAACTCAGTAACAGTGACATGAAAGAACAGACACCTGCGTCCCTGTGTTTACTGCAGCACTATTTATATTAGGTAAGACTTGGAAACAACCCAAATGTCCCAAAATAGGTACTGGGTCAAGAAGATGGGATAAATATACACAATGGAATACTATTCAGCAATCAAAAAGCATAAACTAATGCCATTCGCGGCAATATGGATGGAACTTGAAGGGTTTATGCTCAGTGAAATAAGTCAGAAAGAAGATGAAGAATATTGGATGGTTTCACTTACAGGAGATAAGGGGAAGAGATAGGGAAACCAAATAAAGGATCAGGGGGAAAAAATAACAAAAAAAAAAACAACAAAACAAAAATAAACGGGCACTCTGGAGGGGATGGGAAGGGAGAGGGATCATAATGAGGGCAGAAAGAACACAAGGGACTATGGTGATGGTCCACAGGTGAACTGGTAGTGGAAATTCTATGGGGACTACACCTGAGAAAAGCAATCAAACATTGTGCAAAAATAAACAATGATGTAAAATACATATATAAATTTAAACAAAACCCCACTGATTTTTTTTAGATATATATGGATATATAATAATATAGATTATATAATGGCATGTTTTTATAAAAGTCACTATTTTATTCTTTTGAAATATTTATTTTCTTACATTGTTAATTTTTAGACTGTATCTGATTTCTCCCCTCAGTTATGGTCCCCATAGTTCTCCCACCACATACCACCTGTTATCTATCACCATGGTCACTTGTAGTTTCCTTCCCTGTAAAACACTGAATTCTTATGCCACATTTCAGACTTTTAGAATGCATTTGAACTAGGCTCCTTGGATAACAGATACATACCATTTAATGTACCCTAACATCTTGGGGAACTACTATCTTGAGGGAACATGAATAGACCAGTGAGGAGGCTATAGCTCTATGAACTTTACCAGAAGCCAACAAAGTCTCTGAGATGTTCGTCTATCTGTTTTTGCTTGGTCTCATCCCTGGACTATTCTGGATTTAGCTGGTTTGGAATGTGGCCCCTCTGTGCAGGCCGCGAAGAGTAGACATACAGACAACATACCTGCTTATGTGACAAACTTACCAAGTGCCACCTAAAGCCTATTCTAACATTAAGAACACTTAACATACCCCAAGCAAAATTTATTTCATATTAGAGAAACTGATCATTTAATTGAGTTGAACACTGACTTGAAATGTACTATGTAGCTTCTATCCATATATTCAAAGGGTAAATTCTTACCAGTTTTGTAAGTGTTCACCATCAACCTTTCCTCTCCAGTTTTGTTAGTGACTAATTTAGTTTTACTTTCCATATAAAGCAAAACAGTCCCCTTTAAATGAAGAAGACACTGATAGAAAAGACCCAGAGTTTAACAATGCCCTTAACATCATTGCAGTGCATCTGATCAAAACAATTGTTTGGTTCCTAAAGCAAACAACACAAAATCTATTTAAATTTCAGACTATGGAAATCTTTCGATGCTATTATCTTCTAGTTCAATATTTTTTCATTTTTTTTTTAGCACTTCTAAGTAATTCACATTCAAAGCCTAAAATGATGGTAGTATGGTAAAGAGATAATACATCGTTTATCTCTTTTGAAACATTCAAAGCAGCAAATAAGTTTTCTCTGAAATTCTTATTTCTGTGCCTTTTAGTATGCTAGATTTATCTTTAATTTTAAGAATTAACTTGTGAAAAAGAAAACAGTGTAAGTGTATCTTTGGCCCTCATTTTACCCATAAGACAGGTTGTAAAATTAAAAGCTGCATCAAGGGCCCTTCCTGGTTGCTTAATGGGTTAGAATGTAGTAATATGAAGCTATCTGCAGTTGCTTCAGCACAAGTTCAATCCCTGGTCAGGGAGGTGACCCACATGGCACAGCAGGTTTCTGCCTCACCCACTGCTCCCTCAGCAGTCAATCTGCCTATTCTGCTCCCCAGTTTGTCTGGTGAATCTTCTTACCATCCCTGTACCTCTGGCCTGTATCCTAGTTCTGCATGCATAAATAAATCTTTTTTTTTTTTTCTTTTTAAAGCAGCATCAAGAAAAGCCTCTGCAATGTCAAGAAAAGTTTCTAAATTCCTCCCTTGAGCCCTGGGATTCCTACTTCCCAACTGCCATCTACAAAAGGATATTTGTAGAACATTCAACTGATACTTAGTAGTAGGTAGCTAGGAATATGAACTGTAGGGTACCAGCAAAGAGCTAAATTCTCTAACTTGAAAAGTGATATCCACTGAAATTTTCTATGTGTTGTATCTTCTGATAGACATATTCATAATAAAAAATATAAAAATCTTGCTATATTATAAAATTCCAGATCATTTTCCAAATTAAAAAAAGCTAAGGCAAAATTATGTAACATATCTTATACCTATAACAGGAAAGTAAATACACTGACAACAGTGATTCTCAACTTTTCCTTCCAACATTGTCTCTATAAGCTATGAGCCTTAAACAATCATCTTAAATAACCTAGAATTCTTTTCAAACACAAAGTACATGTAAACAGACTGCTTCTCTGACCTATTCTTTCCACAATACAACACAGACATTCCCTTAGAATTTCATACCCTATATTCAATTCTAATACGTTATCTCCACTTGAATGCCCTGAGGTATTCAAATCTGTAAGGGGGACCTCTTGATTTTTCTCCCCAAATGTTTTCTTCCCAATTTTTCTTTAGTAAGAAGCACTGATAGTCCCCCAATTATCGAAACATTCTTGCTTCCTTCCTTTCCCTCACCCTCCATGATCACTAAAAGGTCCTATCATTTCTACTAGAACATAACCAGAATCATTTTTCTACTGCCACTGTTGTCATCCAAGTTTAAGCCATCATCATACTTACAATGACTACAATTTCCCAAATCTTGCTTCCATTATTGGTTCTACTAACTCAATTCCCCCAGAAGTAATTTTTTAAAATACAAATCAGAAACTAGTGAACTTACCTACTTTTACTTGAGTGCAAAAAATATTTTAAGTAATAACTTTGATACTCAAAACAACAAACATTCACATACATGTTTCTGTGTGGACTGAAGTTTTTAATTCCTTGGTGTTTACCTGTTTAACCAAATGAGTTGAAAACTTATATCCACACAAAAACCTGCAAGGGTTGCTTATAACAATTTTACTATTACTGCACAAACTGGGGGAAAAAGTCAAGTTGTTCTTCAATAGGTTAAGTAGATAAATTGTTGTATATCCAGACAATGGATATTATTAAGCAGTAAAAATAAGTGAGTTACCAAACAAAAATACATGGAAGAAATTAAATACTTATCGAAAAAAATCCAAAAATTATATGATTTCAATTGTATGATATTCTGGAAAAGGCAAAACTACTGAAAGAGTTAAAATGTCAGTAGTTGCCATATATTAAGGGAGAGAGAGTGGTGAATAAGCAAAGCATAGAGGATTTTTAGGGCAGTGAAACTACTCTGTACAATACAATGAATTATGTACTTTGAATTTGTAAATATCAAAATCCATAAGACATGGAACACCAAAAGTGAATCCCAATGTAAGCTATGAACTTTGAATGATGATGAAACCACTGATGTAACAAATGAACAGTTATGGTGCAGGATCTGAAAGTGGGTAGCCTATATATGTATAGGAGGTATGAAGGAACTCTGTACTTTCTCAATTTTGCTGTAAACCTAAAACTACTCTAAAAATTAGATTTTGAATTAAAAAAAGTAAGCAATGCACCAGACAATAAATAATGAATAAAAAAAAATCACTTACTACTGTTTCTTTGGCAGGAGGAGGCTTGATCTGTTGACTGGGAATCAGAACAAATGTCAAGGTACCATGCATATCAGACTGTAACAGAAAGATCAGGTATTTAAAAGTCCGTATTTATGAATGTCACTTCATGATATTATGATAGCTATTCCCTAATCTGGACAGTTCTAGAACTCCTCATCAACTTAAAAAAAAAAAAATCAGTAAAGATGACTCATTTCATCAAGAAACAGTCTACCCTTCATGACTTAAGAGTTACCCAGGTATGGCATTATACAATTCTGGTCAACTTGGGAAAGCCACTTTTATTTCCCACTTAGGGTAATTTTAGGATTCCACAGTGATGGGTTAAAAGATATCACAATGCTACAACAATTCTGGGTTATCTATTCTAATACATCAACTTTAATACAAAATAGTCTCAATTCCCAGATGCTTTATCACCCATTTTTTTTTTCAAATCCATGGTAACACTGACAGGTTCACAATTATTTTACAGTACACCCCGGACTACTTCATTTGGCTATCTCCAACAGATTCTAGTTAAAGCTTCTCCTGACATACTAGGCAGCAATGCTTAACCCAGCGATAGCAGCCAGAATTAAAAAGGCTAAAAAAGATGACCAATGGCACTTTGCTTTACCAATAATGGGACAAGTAAAAATAATGATGTGAGGATATTTTCTAGGTTATTCAACAGACATAAGCAGAGAGAGGAGATTCCACAATAATAAATGCTAGATAATTTAAGAATATATTTGGTTTGTAGGTAAATAGAGTGATCATAAATTGTCCTCAAAAGTTGAGGACATGGGTTTCAATATGAGACTATATATGGGGTTATAATAGCATTGTTTAGTAGAACTTTCTATGATGAGGCAAATACTCTTGGTATGGTAGGCACAGCTCCATAATGCTTGTGGCACCTCAAATAAAGCTAGTATGAGTAAGGAAATGAATTTTACATTTTACTTAAGTTGAAATAACTAATATATGTACTTAGTGGCTATTATATTGGACAAAGTTGACCTATCTTGCTATTATCTAAAACTGTTAAGGAAACAACAATCAACTGTAGACAATAAAAAGACAAAATGACCATAATGCCATGAGGGCATGGACCATGTTTTATATTGTGGCTAGCATATAGTAGGTACTCAATAAATATGCTGAATAATTTTACTAGTGATTTCAGTAGCAAATAAAATAGACAAAAAATATCAGTGGTACCTACCAAAAATAAAATTCTACTAATGTGGAAATAATTGTCATGTGAAAAAAAATCAGACTAGAAATTGTCCAGTATTCTTATTATTCTTAAAATGCTTTTGAGACACTTTATTCTGAATACTAATAAAGAATTATTCTTCTACCACTGTCAACTTACCAACAAGTCAAAAACCTCATTGACATCTTTCCCCCGAATTTCAATGCCATTAATTTCCAGAACTTCATCTCCTTCATGTAACAGACCACTTTTCTCTGCAGCACCTCCTTTTACTATCCGACTAATGATGACAGAATCCATTTCATTACGAACTGTGGCCCCCTAAAAAAGTTAAGTATCTAATTTTAAAATATAGTTTTTTTTTGTTAAACATTTCTTAATGTTTAGATTCTTAGTTTATTCAACATAGCCTCCAATTACTGTGAAAATAAATTTACTTACACAGCTAAGGTAATTATGGTATTTAGATGTGAAAGCTGAATATTTTCCCCAAACATTTTTGCTTAAGAAACATTCTGTTCATTACAATTCTAAAATCAAGCAGAACCTTGAAGCACACAACAAGAGTAACTTGATTAAAAAGTGTGACAACCTATAATCAAACTACTTCTTTATATGCTAGAGGTGATTCAAATGGTTATGTTAGAGTTAGGAATAATTAGTGAACATAACTTATACAACTATGAAAGTTCTTACCCTACCCCTTCAGTTCAAGTATCTTTAAGGAACAAATACCAATCTGGTTGATTACTCAAATGTTAAATATGATAGCTGCATTCAAACCCCAGTAAATATATTACATAATTTTTACTATAGAAATTGGAAGCATGAATGAAATATATAAGCTCAAACTGGAAATATGAAATACAGAACACAGCTTGAAAGCACAAAGTATATGACATTTTTTTCTTTTTTTATTTATATTTATAAATTACATTTATGTTTATTTTCTGGTAAGAAGAAACCTTGTCATATAACCTGCCCATAAAATGTAGTCCCTATCCCAGATTCCACATTTGCTAAGACATAATTGAGACATCAGGATTCAAGAATTTTTCTATGAAAATAAAGGAAAGAAAATTATGGCAATGACAGCAAACTAAGAGATTTTTTAAATTTTTACATATACTAACTTAAATTTATTAACATAAAAGAATACATACTTCTAAGGATATATTAAATATATAAACAACTGTGTCAACAGATTTAACTGAATAAAGATTCAATTTCTAGTGTGTGTATATAAAATATCCTTCATTTTTGTACAATGTGTAACTTCCCTGTGAAATTCTCACCACCAATTCACCTGTGCACCATCACCATAGTCCCTTGTGCTCTTCCCACCCATGTCCTGATCCTTCTCCCTCTTTCTCCCCTATAGAATTTCTTTGGTTTATGGTTGCCTGTTGGTTTTGATTTTTACTTTATAATTATTTTTTTTCCTTATTTGGTTCCTCTACGTTTATCCTATAAATGAAAACCTTAGATATTTTTCTTTATCTTTCTGGCTTATTTTGCTGAGCATAATCCCTTCAAGCTCCATCCACGGTGCTGTGTATGGCTTGAGTTTATCTTTTTTGATTGATGAGTAATACTGTTGTGTATATATACCACATCTTCTTGATCCAAGCATCTAGTTTTGGGTATTTGGGTTGTTTCCATCGCTTACTTAATTGTAAATAGTGCTGTAATGAACATAGGGATGCAGGGGTCCTTTAAGATTAATGTTTTTAACTGTTTTAAAAAATAACAATAAAATTAAAAAATTAATGTTTTTGTATCCTTTGAGTAGATTCCTAGGAGTGGAATTGCTGGGGCATAAGGAAACTTCATTTTTAGTAGTTTGAGGAACCTGCACACAGCTTTCCATAGCAGTTGGACCAGTTTGCATTCCCAGCACTGCAGGAGAGTTCCTTTTTCTCCACATCCTTGCCAACAACTGTTGCTAGTTTTTTCCCCCCCCATCATGTAATATTCTCACTGGTGTAAGGTGGTATCTCATTGTGGCTTTGATTTGCATTTCCCTGACTATGAGTGCTGTTGAACATTTTTTCATATACCTGTTAGCTATTTGTATTTCTTCTCTGGGAAACATGTCTTTTTAGTTCTTATACCCATTTCTGGTCTCTGTGTGTGTATAAAATCCTTTGTGTGCAATATGTGACTTCCTGGAATTGGGTTGTTTACTCTGCTTTTGTTGAGCTGTGTGAATTTTTAGATTTTTGTGATTAGTCCCTTACCATTAGTATGTGCAACAATTTTCTCTCAACCAGTGGGGTTATCTCTTTGTTTTGGTTTACATCTCTTTTGCTGTACAGAAGCTCTTTAATTTGATATAGTCCCAGTTGTCTATCTTTTTCTTCACTTCCTTTGCTTTAGGTGATGTGTCTTTAAAGATATTGAGATGTATGTGATGTAGTGTTTTGTCTATATTTTCTCCTATATATTTTATGATTATTAGACATAAAAAATTTTATCTAATTTTTTAACCCATTTTGAGTTGGTTCTTGTGCATGGCATGAGGTAGTAGCCTAGCTTCACTTGTGGATGTAGCATTCGAGGTTTCTCAGCACCATTTATTGAACAAACTGTCTTCGTTCAGCTGCATATTCTTTGCTCCTTTGTCAAAGATTAGTTGTCCATATGTCTGTGGGTTTCTATCTGAGCATTCTATTCAGTTCCAAGGTCTGTGTGTCCATTTTGTCCCAGTGCCATGTAGTTTTAATTATGATGGCTTTGTAGTATAGTTTGAAGCCTGGGAGTGTGATACCTCTATTCTTCTCCTTTAGTCAAGAGAGCTTTTCTTGTCAGTAGTTTTTAAAAGGTAAGAGAATCACTAAGCAGATTACTTGTCCATTTTTTTTTTGTTCTTCATCAGTTACTTATCTATTTAGATAAATTATTTAGCTATTAGATAGTAAAGCTATTATTTTTGTCAAATTATGGGTGAGAGAAGATGAACAAATTTTTCTCAAATAAGCAAGAAGATTCTGACAAAGTTTCTTCAACCTGTCTGTCATACATAGGATCCACGTACAGAAAGAATCTCAGATCAGACATGCGGAACACTTACCAGTGGAATATCTCGAGCCTTTTCTATACGAACAATTTTTACAGTTTCTCCTCCATACTGGCCAATGCTTTCATACACTCTCTCATCTGTAATGGGTTCTAGTTGCATTTCCTGCTCAGCAACCTTATCATGGGCCAGTAAAAGTGCCTGTTTTAAAGAAATCCACAGAATTTAAAGAAACACCATAATTATTTCTGTAGAGAGATGTATCTTGGTCATAGACATAGTATTCTGGTCATCAAATATTTAAAAGAAGTACTATAGATTATATGTGTGTGTGTATTTGTATTTTCAGATCTGTTTTGCAACTTTCCAAAATAAGTATAGATGCAACTCTGTATATTTTATTTTTTAAAAAAGATTTACTTATTTATACATATGGAATTGGGGTACTGCTAAGGGCATGGGGGTGAGAGGATTCACCAGTGGGGAACAGAACAGTGGACTGACTGAAATACACTGCTGAGGGAGGCAGCTGGCAAAACAGCTGAAGTCTGCTACACCATGTGGGTCAGCTCCCTGGCCAGGGATAGAACTCATGCTGCAGTGGCTGCAGATAGGTTGCTAAGACTTATACCCCTTTTGCCTTAGTATATTTTATAGTTTAATGATAGCTACAGATGTGATAAGCTGAATTAGGTGTACTCTGGGATGGAACATCGAAGTCTAAAATGCTTAACTTCATAAAAAAAAGTTATAGGGTTAACACCATAGAAAGACTTTATTGGTAATATAACCCTCCCCCAAAAGAAGATTTTTCATAAAGAATAAGAAATTGTTTCAAAAATAATAAATACAAAGATATGTAATTCAGCAATAACTGTTTTTCAGTGCGACTTTTAAATAATAAAAATATATTAGATAATGTTTGAGGTGTCTAAGTCTTTGATTAAAAAAAAAAAAAAAATCAAAAAAATTTTCCTCCCCAGCACCTGGAAGATCCAACACCACCATAAATGATACAATAATGGACCAGGAAGTTCATAACCAAAAGACTGCTTTAGTGGAAACAAATGGTCATTGACATCTTTCACTGTGGGAAGGCAAGAGTACTTAAGATAGAAATCTGGGGGAAGCTAGCTAACATGCACAAGACTAACCCTAATGTCATCTCTGTATTTGGATTTAGAACCCATTTTGGAGGTGGCAAGACAACTGGCTTTAGCATACTTTACAATTCTTGGATAATGAAAAGAAAAATGAACCCAAATTCAGACTTGTAAGACAGTCTATATGAGAAGGAAAAGATCTCAAGAAAATAGCAACAGGAATGCAAGGACAGAATGGACAGTGTCAGGAGGACTAGAAAGGCCAATGTTGGTGCTGGCAAATAAGAAGTAAAGATTCTACAGTGACTTTTTCTGTCTGTGGTAGTGGTGAAGATTTCTGGGAGGATTAATAAAACATTTTCTATGTCTAGCAGGGGAAAAAAGGCAAGGCTGAAAAAAAGCACACACAATGTTCAGTCCATTTGCTACCTGAATATGTGGAGCATTCAGTAAAGCAGTTAACTCTAGACCTTCTTTCTGGTGAACTGGTTTCAAAACAGTTTGTACCTAAGAAATAGAGAGAAAAATTATTCTCTCTAGGTTAGAAGAAATGCCACCAGCATTTATACAGGTATTTTTATTAAGGTTCAAATTAAAATCATAAAAACTACTTATAAGAAGCAATAAAAATAATTTTTAAAAAGTCAAAATGCTTTTTCTCCAGTTTTCAAGGTTAAAATAGCATTTGTTATTTTATAAAAGCCACCAGAAAAAACTTTGATTCTTAATTGTTTCTATAAAATAAATTATTAATTACATAAGAGAAGAAAAACTGAGTAAATTAAAACAGTTTAAGGAGATGACATCTTAAAGAGTCACCAACTAATAAGATAAATTTCAGAGCAAAGCTATCACCACGATACTACAGTGTATGACATAAAAATTTCCTGGGAAAAAAAAAATTTCCTGAAGTTCAGCAGTTATCATATTCTTAGGATAAATTTTACTTGATTATGAAATTTTTAGTTTCTTTTAAGTCATTTAAGGTTCTTAAAATATTGAGATCATCTATATAAATGGTTAAACACAGTACCTAGAGCACATAATAAATGATTAGTTTAATGTATTTCAAAATGTGAGTTATTTATACAAATGTGTAAGCTTTTACACAAATGTTTATAAATTGAATTGCTGTCTAGTGAATGAAGTCATGCATTCTGTTTTACAAAAACACTATCAAGCAGCAGCAGCAAAGAATTTAAAACTCAGCATATTAAGAAGGAAAACTCACAAAATGAAGTTTAATTATTTTGGACCCTCTATACAGTTTTTACAGAGGAAAAACTTCAGAATACCTACAAGTAACATATCTTTATGATACCTGATTAGCAAATATTCTTTTATTTCATTAGCATTCATTTATCTCAGTATAATGACAATGATTAAAATATAACTACATTCTAAAAACATTGAAAAGATTTCTTCTATAATAATATATTTCCCTTACTCAACAAATGAACAACTACATACACACACACACTCCTTAAATACTGTCTTCATCAAATGGAATAGTTCTTACTCTCATCTCAAGTGTACGATTTTTCAGGATAAAAAAAAAATGTAGCAAATTTTTGGTATCATAATAACTGAACATGGAATCATTAGGAATTAACTCAAACAACCTTTTATTCCCATCAGTATTTCCCAACAATACTGCCTTACTATAGCTAATAGTTATCTGTATTAATCAGGAGTTAAGCAAACATACCTCTTGTGCGAGACCTTGTGCACTGGAGAGAAGAGGAAACGGAGGACTGGCTTTGTTCATGTGCACTGTGACAGCATTGTGTATCTTAAATGCATTCTGGAAATCTTTATTTTGTACAAGTTGTAAGAGTAGTGAAATATCCTCCTGGCTCTGAGAATCTACCAACGTATGTTGAATATGTTTAAGTGAAGAAAACAAGTCTTCCACTTCTAGTAGAAGAAAAATAAATATTGTTTCTGTTATATTTCAACATAAGTTTCAAGATAAAATTTTTTTTGAAACAACTTTTAAAAACCCGCCAAAAGTGGCATATAATTTTGAGTGTCAAATCACTGTCATTTCTTTGATTTATAAAACTTTAAAAATTACGTAATGGAATATCTTGCATTTTCTCGATGGTGTTTTAATGATAACACACTATATATATATGAATTAGGTAATACAGAAGTGAAAAAAGAAATTTAAGACCACTATAATCCTATCAACTAGAAGCAACTTTTTAAACATCACAACTATTTCTTTTTCATTAAACAGTAAATTTTAATCATTTTTATACATCACAATCAGTCTTCAGAAATAGCTTCATGATGTTCTATTACATGACTGAATCACTTATAACCACTTAGTTGCGCATTCTTATTGCTTACAATTTTACTGTTATAAGTAATAGTAAATTATTTCAGTAGCTAACAGTCACTGCTGCATAAAAATTTGTCTGAGATTCTGGTGTTTTCTTAAAATAATTCCTTGAAGTAGTATTTTAATATGAGACTAATGTTTTAAAAGTCAAATAGGTTTTCAAGAATATTTTACTAATCTAGGCTCCATTACAGCAATATTTGCCATTAGCATTTAAAAAACCCTTTACTTTTTAATTAAAAAGGGAGGCTGAAGTTTATTTATATTTACCAGGTACTTCTTTTGTGGTCATTAGCCTTTTATGAATGGTAATCTCCTAAAACTATACTTACAGTTCTGGATATGTGTGATTTGTAAACATGCCTGTCAGTGTACATACACAACTTAGGATTTTTTCTCCAGGAGTTATCCCCAAAACAATTAATAACCACAGATGTCGCTCTCTGACCATAACAGATATGTGCACACGTGTGTACACTTTGTTGTATTTGTTGGAAACAGTTTCCTAATTTTTCCATTTTTCTGTTCAGTATATTTCTGGTAGCTTTTATGGAAGGTTTTCTTCTATAGTAAGAATGAGCCACCTTTTTCTGGGTGCTTTCTTTCACTATTTCTAAGCTTATAAATTACTTCTCCTATCATTAAATATTTACTTACCTTTCTCCTAACTTCTTGTAGCTTCTATTTCATTATAAACTTTAGTCCAACTGGAGATTATTTTGTTATAGAATTGAGGGAAATTTTTAATTTCCTTTTCCTTCTAAGTGATTAATCAAATACAGTGGCATAATTCATAATCCTTCCTTTTCCACTCATTAATTAATACCACCAAATTCCTGATATATTAGTATCTTTTCTTAATCTAGTAGTCTATCAGAACCACAATTTCTTATGTAGTATCAGTTTTTGCTCATACTGATAAGTTCTTGCTAATTTTTCAAAATGCCTTGACTATTCAAAATCAGTTACAGGATCTTTTTTTTTTTCTTCAAGATCTCTTCCATTCTTTTTTCCATTCTTTCAAAAAGAAAAATCCTACTGAATTGTTTACTGAAATTAAACCAGTAAATGAGTCTTAGAAAACACAATGTCTGTCATGTCATACATAGTCACATGGGAAAAAAAAATCTCATTTAAATCTTGTTGATTTTTTTATAACTCCTGTAGAAAAGATGTTGATTCTTTTACATTTGTCTTGTATCTCACTACTTCAATTAAATATTTAAATATTCAAATAGTTCAAGTGATTCCTGAAGTTTCCTACTTTCCTCCTCCAAAATCAAAATAGCTATAGTCCACCTTATAAAGTATATATGTATATGTATATGCTGCTCATGAATAACTTAAGATATAGCAAAAAAAAAAAAAAAACAACAGGAAAGTCACACAAAAAAAGTCATCAGAATGATATTAACAAGTTATGACCCAGAGACATATAAAATTTGAGATAATATTTAACTATAATCTAATATGATAGAAATATGGATGGGGGTAAGGGAAAATATTAGTCAAAGAGTATAAATTTTCAGTTTTAATCAAGTTCTGAGTGGCTAATGTACAGCATGAATAGTAGATACCGCATATTTGAAATTTACTAAGAACAGACCAACATTAAAAAGGTAACTATGTGGATGTGTTAATGACTGTTATTACAGTAACCATTTCACAGGATATATATCATATCATCATGCTGTATACCTTAGATATACACACATAATATGTCATTTATACATCAATAAAAAGTAAAGCTAGTATAAGAAAAGACTATGGAATGTCAAATTCCATCAAATACAAAGTTTAATACAAAATTACCTAAATATGTAAAGAATTTCCTAAGAGTATAAAGAATTAAATTGCCTTAAACTATGTTTAGAGCAAAACAGGAAAATATCTTGAATATCTTGAAAGGAAAAAGAATTACAGAACCAATGGAGTAGTTAAGGCTGCAATATTAAAGGAGCTATACACTTCCCTGAGTAGATAATGAGATGTATGTGTTTTAATGAGATATATGTTTAATTTTAGTAACTGTTTAAAGGGGCTGAGTCTGTTTGCCAGAACAATGAGAAAAACCAGAAGTTTCAGATTTCCCCACTGGCTGAAATCAGTAAGCAAACTAAGCCATCACAGAAGGTAACTATCTCCCTATTTCATCTCCTTCAACCCTAGGGAAGATTTAAATTTTTTGTTTTTTAAAGATTTATTTATTTATGCATACAGAACTGGAGTACAGGCCAGAGGCTCAGGGGCGGTGAGAGGCTTCACCAGAGACAGAGCAGGGAACAGAACAGGCAGATGGATGAAGTTCACTGCTGAGGGGAGCAGTGTGCGGGCAGGAGAGGTCTGCCACGCCATGTGGTCACCTCCCGGAGCAGGCGGGAATCGAACTCATGCGGAAGTGGCTTTAGATTCTCAGTGCTGTGCTTTAACCCGCTGTGCCACCAGGGAGGGCCAAGATTTAAATTTTTAAAGGCAAAGGAATTTCTGCGTACCTCTCCTGTGTACCAAAGTCACCCACAATGACATGAAAAAATGACATAAAAATAAACTGCAGTCTTTTATCTTTCAGCTATAATTACTGGTATAATTTCATTATTCTGTAACTATACCCTTTTTTGGGGGGGAAGCTTTATCATTTAACCACATGATCACATTGTAAATGTTATTTTGCAACCTGATATTTTCCAATTCCTTTACACTAAAACTGATAACAAAAACATTTAAAATATTGGCATGTAATGGCAAATGCATTGCAGACTTGTGCTAATTCATACTACTAACACCAGTAAACATTAGTGTCTGTTTCTATAAACAAAGATCAAAGGAACAAGTATCAATCCTTCAAATTTTGATGATCTAATTAGGAAAAAAATGTTTCTTTTCCTAACAGTGAGATTGAATATATATTTACGAAGTTAGCAGTCACTTGGATTTCTTCTTTCTTCTACCTCCTACTTATCTACTGCTTATTATTATTATTTTTTAAACTAAAGCTTTTTTCCCTTTCTTTTTGCATCTGGAATCACATTGATTATAGAGCTATCCATGCAGTCTTAAACAGATTATAGTGAATATAATTTTTTCTTTTCTTCTATGTCAGAACAATGTTTTTTAATTACGGATATTTATGAGAATTAACAAAATTCACAAACATACTGAGTTCTACTTCAAACACTACCAAACTCTCATGTACATATGCACACACACATATATGTTGACTATATTTGGTTTAGAACCTCTGACCTAAAATGTTTTATTAGTATTAGATACTGTAATATTTTAAGACTGATATACTTGGGACTAAGTCAAACCTATTTTCTTCTATACTAAATGACATTCATTTTTGTATCAAATTTCTGTATCTGATTTTACATTATTCAGTTTTCTCCTTGGCAACCATTTCCTTTTATTGTCCTCTTGTTTCTGTGGCAAACATAGCATGCAATATTCATATTTTGAATATTTTAAGTACAAATACTGTAGTCATAAGCCAGCAAGAAAAACTAGAGAAAGTGAGGTAGGGTAATCTAAATTAGGAATAGCTTGATGAGAGCTATAACTTGATCAATGACCATACTCAGATTAGTTAACAGCTGAGAATGATAAAACAGGAAAAAAAATTATAGTTTCAAAGTTTTAAGATATAAGAAGGTTTCTCATATTGCTAGGTACTGAGGTAAGGAACACAGGTTCTAGAGAAACAAAATCTGGTCAATTTATTTATATTGTGGTTCATACTGAGGAGATATAAAGCCACAAAGAACTAGGACAGTTTACGTTTCTGACATAGTGGGGGAATAAAAAATTAAACACTACTCCTACTACCACCCCCAAAATTCTAGGTCTTGATTGTGATAAGGTTACTCATCTGTTTTTGGAAAGTTGTCCTGAGATGTCTTTTCACCCCAAACAGAGGTATGTAATGTATACTCACTAGTATTTAAAGGAGCTTACACATTCTAGCTAGATTGTAAGTACAAATACTGAAATCATAGTCAACAAGAAAAACTAGACTTTACTAATATCAGTTACTGTAACATTTTAAGATTGATATATTTCACATACTAAGAATTTCTTCTAGTTAAGGATCTGTACTATGCTCACACATATAATGCAGATAATGTATGTTTTCAACAGTCTCCAAATGCTACTTTAGCTGTTTATATTATTGCTGTATTTTATTTCTATTTTTATCTTTAACCAAGGCTTTTATGCTTGAATATTTTCTTAGAGTATTTAAATTCATTTCTAACATAGCAATAGTATGCCAGATTGTACACTTAGAAATCTAGGAAAAAACTAAAGCTGAAACTTCTGATAATGTAAAAGTTACCCATTTTTTAAAGAAAATGTAAAGCCACTGACAGTACTGCTAGTCGAGGTAACAAAATAGTATATAGCAAAATTAGTAATTATGATTTAAATAGGCATAGGTTTCAGATAAATTCCATACCTGCTTTCATGACCAATTTAGCTGGGAAAGTTTTCAAACAGCATTCTTAAGAACGCAAGCTGACCAAAGTACTCTCATCTTTCAGGTTCAAATATATTTCCATTTAAAAAGTTTAAT